ACTGAAGTTCAAAAGTCCATAGCTCAACTTATCTTAATCGGAATTTGAAGTGGCATACCTCTAAATGTTTCTGGAGAAATTCTCTAAAAATCTGCATTCAAATTTGGAAATTTATTTTTTCAACATTTTTTTGTCATTTTTCTGGTGTGTGATGTTATAGAAATTCAAAAATGACCCAAAACTGAAGTTCTAAACTCCATAACTCAACTTATCTTAATGGGATTTTGAAGTGGCATACCTTTAAATGTTTCTGGAGCAATTCTCTAAAAATCTGCATTCAAATTTGGAAATTTATTTTTTCAACATTTTTTTGTCATTTTTCTGGTGTGTGATGTTCAGAAATGATGTTATAGAAATTCAAAAATGACCCAAGACTGAAGTTCAAAAGTCCATAACTCAAATTATCTTAATCGGAATTTGAAGTGTCATACCTCTAAATGTTTCTATCGCAATTCTCTAAAGAACTGCATTCAAATTTAGAAATATATTTTTTTTTATTTTTTTTGTCATTTTTCTGATGTAGAAATTCAAAACAATGTAAAAAATGGCCCAAGTCTGAAGTTCTAAACTCCATAACTCAACTTATTTTAATCGGATTTTGAAGTGGAATACCTCTAAATGTTTCTGGCGCAATTCTCTACAAATCTGCATTGAAATGTAGAACATATTTTAAATTGAATTTTTTTGTAATTATAGCCGTTACTCGTAGAGTAAAAGTAATGTATACAACTACCATTGATTGTAAACAGACGCAGCTTCTAGTTTCTAAAATTCCGGGAAACCACCTCTAACAGCTTTTCTCCCCGCCAATAACTCAGCATCCACTGCAATGGAATAAATGGCTGCTCGAGAACAGTAAACGTAATCACAGGTTAGCGTTCCGGGAACTTTTTGTTGTCAACTGATTCTGTCGGCGAGGGGCAACTACTGGTTGCTTGGGTGCTCCGCTGACTGGGAGGAAATTGATAAGGAGTCGGGAATGCCACTATCGATGACGGGCGCCAATGGAGCCCATTGTTTGGTCTTATCTAACCACTTATTGTTACTCCATTGGAACCCAGTTAGTTGTTTATTTATTTGCTCCATGCCACGATGGCGTGCGTCATGCGGGGAAGGATGTGAATCGGGTGATTCATGCCAGAGAAGTGCATCCCCACCCCCTGGTAGAAAATCAATAGCCATGATGGCGTGCTCTGCGCTCTCGAGATGTTTGCCGTAGTGTAACCTTGCGTTCTTGTTTTGCAGGAGCCGGAGGCGCCTTGAATGAGAGTCCTTAGCCCGAGATGTCAGATTTCGTGCCGCGCGACCTCATCCCCGATCTGTGGGATGAGATTCTCCGGCGCCACTGGATGTTCCTCGAGACGGAGGAGAGCATACAGAAGCTCGAGGAGCGCAAGCAGCTGGAGGGTGAGTTCTTCGCCTTATCGTTGTCCCAAATGGAACTTAGCAATCCGCATTTTGCAGGCTGCCTGAAGGAGTTCCTCTGCGTGGTGCAGCACGATCGCAAGTTCTTTCTGCCGGAAACAGGGCATGTCCTGCGGAGGTCTGTGCTCGAGCTGCCCGACTTTTCGGCCCAGAACGCCATCGTAGCCTTCGAGACCATCAGCCAGTATGCCAACAACCTGTTTACGAAGCCCTGGCGTAAGGAGTACCGAACTCTCAAGGTGGATTATGGAAATTTATACGTTAAATAGCCGCTTCTAACTCAATAAACCATCTTTCTGCAGACCTATTCGGGATGCTTTCAGCACGACATCCAATCCCGCCTGCTGGACGCGGAGCAACTCTTCCTGGCCATGGGCTATCGCAGGACTGCCGAGGACACCTTCGTCCTCGAGGGTCCCATCTGTCCGGATCAGGTGACGAATGTTTCACGCGATGCAATGGCCGCGTACGTGGAGTGCCAGATCATGAAGCACATCTACGCGGGAGTCACGGCAGCGGGATACAGCTGTACTTGGAAGGACATCTTGCAGTTCCGCGAGCGCTATGTAGGTGGAACTTCCACGACCATTAAAGAGATGCTCAGGCAGCTGAGTGAGAAACGTGTGCGCAAGGAGCAGCCACCAATGCAGGAGAACACATACAGCAATGTGGCGCCAGCTGGCTGCGCTATGCGCGGCAACAACGTAGCCCATCATCCCAGCAGCTCTGGCACTTGCGCCCTGCATCCAAATGGGCTGAACGAGGCGGGAAAGTATCTGCCGCCTTACCCAGCGGCTCCGCCGCAGCAGCCACATCTGCCTGGTCCGCTGATGACGCATTCTCGCAGCCTGGAGCACTACCAGGAGCCACATGCCCATCTGCCTCACCGCCACTCCTTCGACCAGCAGCTCCAGCAGCAGTGTCAGCTGCCCCACGTCTACGAGGCGCCCTATGACTGCCTGGATGGCCTGAGCATGGGCAGCAGTGCCTCATACGCGGCCGTGGCTGGAGCCTACAATGCGCCGGGAAACCGCTATCCGCTGCCGTACAACATCTCCAGCCAGCTGAATGCACCGTATGCCTCGCCCGCCGACCTTTATGGCAATGGACAGCATGCGAACATGTACGCCACGCTGGGAAAAACGGGCCCAGCCCACAGCTGCGATTTCCACCGTCGCCAGCCGAGCACTTCTGCAGCTGCCGCCGCTGCCTTGGCGGCCATGCAGCACCGCCAGAGCACCTATCCGCCGGATCACCACCTCATTGACTTTGACGATCGAGCACATCTGACCCAGCATGACTTTGGAACGCACGACTACGATCCGCAGTATGCCGAGCTGAGGGGGCAAGTGCAGCCAAGCATGCGGGGGAATCCGGCAGCCATGTACGCCACCTACGGAGGCTACGACCTGCCCACCACGCTTCCACAGGCGCCGCCGCCGACCGGCCAGGACATGTACATTTACGCCCGGCCAGTTCCAAAGAGCAGCCGTATGCGGGCGTTAGCCGAGGCGGGGGGCATTAATTCGACTGACAAACATCCGCGATCAGCGGAAAAGCAAGTGAGTTTTATTAATGTCATGATCATAGGTATATATTGCTTACATATGGTTATCTGATTCTTTGAACAGAACACCATGGACAATAATCGCAAGATGCACAAGGAATTGAAGGAGCGGACTAGTCGAACGGCTCCAGCGAAGCGGTCCGGCAACGAACGTGATATACCCACCACCATTTCGGACATGAACAGTTACGATTCGGCTAGTCTGGATGGATTTGTGGCCCTGGACAGTAGTTCGCCACCTCTGATGCCCAAAGTGCAGGAGGGCGTCGGCAGTTTCGAGTCCTGGAACTATGTATTCAAGAACCTCGAGCGTTCGGGCTACACCAAGGATCTGGGTGACCGCGAGGACCTGCTAGTGCAGAGCTTGGACCTAGACTCGCTGGCCATAACGAACGGAGGTACAGCTCCTCCGGCGGAGAAGCGCCGCGAGCCCACGAAGCCCACAAATGGAGAGAAGGCGCGCACGCTAGAAAAGAAATCCGGGACGGGGCGACGCGAGGCAAAGGTGGTGCAAGCTCCTGCACCCAGTCCTCTGCCCAATAGCAGCAGTGCCGGTGTTAAGAAGGTCAAGTCCGCCTTGAAGACGGCCGTCGTGGACAATCGGGGTACCGGGTCAAGGAACCGCACGGGAGCTGTGCCCAAGCAGCCGCCGACTGTGTCCCCACAGCTGATTGTGACCAGTCCGAACGAGTGGAGCTGCAGCTTCTGCACGTTCCTCAATCCGGACACCAAGCGGATCTGCGAGATGTGCTGCCGCAGCAAGGACTTCAACCTGGAGGCCGCCTCGGCGGCTTCCTCCACGGCGGCTGCAGCTGCGGCCGCAGCGGCCAGTGTGTCGCACGCATCCTCGACCTGCGTGTAGGATGCAGTGCAACGGAACCCTCGTTAGTGATACAAACAGTGTATAGCTTCATATATTTTTTATACGACCAATGTAAGCCTGTGCGCGTGTCTCCAAGATCTAGTCTCGAAGTCGTCGTCGTTCGATGGCAGGCAACCCTTTGTTATCCGCATTCGGCTCCTTGGATCAGCGGATGGAGCTGCAGACGGTTGATGCAGATGGGACTGCAGCCTGTACATACGAAGTATTCTAATTAGTTACCCCTACTCGTAAACACACGCTTTAATTAGTTTTAGATTGTTTCCCATTGTTAAGGGCGCTTCTGTTTCAAATTACGTGCCTCCCTGTATAAGTCATCTATATTATATATATACATATACAGCATATAGACATTTATATATTTGTACGTGTGCATGCGACGCGAGGAGCGAGAGAGTGAAATTCGAACTTGGAAGTTTTCTAGGAAATCAACTGATAATTATACCTTATGCTAATAGTTGCATTCACAATACGTATTTTCGACAGTAAATCAGAGTACATAGAGTTATATAACAATCTTGCATAGATAATAAACCTATAGCCGTAACATAAGCGATTTCAATTCGAAGAACCGAGCTACGCATAACGCAACATAATAAGTCGAACAGAACTGGTACGGGTTGTAAACTTGAAGTTTTTGATTCACATTTTACGAGAACGCAGTGGTGCCCCATGGACAGAGTGCCACATCATCCCACCCACCCAAGCTATGTGACAATTCCCAAAGCCATTTGTTTGTTAAATGTTACTCTTGTTTCCTGTTGAAGCATCCCGGTAGTAGAATCGAAAGCACTCGAGATATTTTTGTAAGCGATACCACGTACCTATTGCTCTATGTTGCATAGTTTATTGTATTTTTTGTACACCTCTGTTAACGTTTCGAGTTCCAAACACCTTTCTGTATATGCCATGGCCAGCAAACCGAAGGAATATATCTAGACATTAGACCGATTGAGGATTGAATCGTTGAAATGAAACCAAGAAATTTCACCAAGGCCATTTAGGCACAACCTTCGCTCAAACCATTTTATTACATAACTTTGCATACTATTACCGAATGAATTTAGCGGCAGCTCTTCCTAAACTCCCTAACAAAAAACATAACAATAAAAATACAATTTTGACATATCCAAGCCTTGTTTGAATGGGGGAATATTCCACTTCACTCCACCTCACCCGAATTAAAGTTCCTGCTCCATGCTGCCAATGACCTCCGTCCTGCTGCTCGCCGGGATGCTCATGCCGATGCTGATGCCCATGCTGATGCTGCTGCCCATAGTTGCCGGGTACAACTACTGCAACAACAGCACCCATCTGTGCGACCTGGCCAAGAGAAAGCACTTCATGTGCGGGCTGGGGGAACTGACGCCCTTTGGATACGGTACCAAGTACCACGCCAGCATACCGGACACCCCGAAAGTGCGGAAGGAAACGCTGGGCGTGATAAACACCTTCCGGAACATGTTCGCCGGCGGGGAGCTGGGCGCCCCTGACAACAAGACGTTCCCGAGCGCCAAGCGGATGAGAGTGCTCCAGTGGGACAGTGAGCTGGCCTACATGGCACGTAGCCACGCCGACACCGTGTCCTTCATGCACTCCGAGTGCCGCTCTACCCTGCGCTTCCCGTTGGCGGGTGAGATCCTGGTCATGGCGCCTCCCGTCATGCACAAGCTCAGTCTGACGCAGTTGCTGGGCATAGTCTTCGGCCAGATTTTCGACGAGTACAAGACTGTTCTGGATCCGCAGACTTTCGTCAATGGCTTCGATTCCAAAAGGTGAGCATAGGCCCATGGTGAGCATGGGCAGGGGTCTGAACTGGAATCACTGTTAGTTGTTTTAGGGACTACAGCGTGGGACACTTCTCCCTCATCGTCAACGATCGAGTGTCTCGAGTGGGTTGTGGCTTAGCTGTGGGTTCCAACTGCGAAAAAGACGGCCAAGTCGGGTGAGACGGTGGCCTTTCCACTGGGCGTTCGCCCCTGATCCTCCCCCGATTCTCCTCCAGCTTCTGTCACTTCCTGACCTGCCACTTAGATTACACGAACGTGAAGGGAGCCTATGTCTACAAGAGTGGAAAGCCTGCCAGTGGCTGTAACGACTGGAAAAGCATCGCCAGCATCAAGTATTCCAATCTGTGTGCCAACACGGGCGAAATCTTTCCCCTGGTGAGAGGATACTCCTTCGATTACCTAGCTATAAAGTGTTTACTTGCAGAAAGAGGAGCGTCGCGAAGTCTAATAGCTTTCCGAACACATTGAAAATTCGTTTTAAATCATATTCGTCGTTCTTAATCATATTCAAGGACCCTCATGCAAACAAAGGTCATTTTTCTTTTACATCAGAACTCATTCAAGTTACAAGTTTCCACACTGTGTAAATTCCTAGTAAAATGATTTTGAGTGCCGTGCTCGCTGTGATTTTACTTTTGCCCACGGCCTACGGCTATAACTACTGCAACAACAGGACCCACAGGTGCATCCTGGAGCAGACCCAGCACTTCATGTGCAAGCTGGACCAGATTCCGTCGCTGGGCGGCACCCGGTACCATGCCATTGTGCCGGATACCCCGAAACTGCAATCGCAGATTCTGAAGATCATAAACACTTTTCGAAACCAGTTCGCGAGCGGCGAATTCAGTAAGAGTGAGAACAGGACCTTCGCCCAGGCCAGGCGGATGCGCCAAGTCCTGTGGGACAGCGAGCTGGCGTACATGGCCCGCTCCCACGCCTCCACCGTGTCCTTCAAGCACACCGAATGCCGCTCCACGCTGCGGTTCCCCAAGGTGGGCGAGTGCCTGTCCATGATGGTGCCCAAGTACAAGCACACTCTGCCCGAGGTGTTGCATAAGTTGTTCAAAATGATGTTCGACGAGCATCTCAACATTGAGAATCCGGATGATCTGCTCGAGGGCTTCCACCCCATCAGGTGAGCCAGGGACTCGCAGGATCCCCCAACTTACCTAATTGCTCCCACAGGGACTATATCTGTGCACACTTCACCATCATCATCAGCGATCGGGCATCGCGCGTGGGCTGCGGAGTGGTCACGGGAACCAACTGTCGCCAAGGGTCCGTCTCCAAGTAAGCGGTTGCACCCTGGCAGCTGATTCGTGGCATGCAGGATTGGTAACTGATGCCTCCTCCTGTTTCCTCAGCTTCTGCCACTTCTTGACCTGCTACTTCGACTTCGACAACGTGGACGGATCATATATCTACAAGGCGGGTAAGCCTGTCTCTTCCTGTAGCGACTGGGGCACAACCAGGTCCGAGGAGTTCGCGAATCTGTGCAGCAACAATGGTAACCTTTTCCCCCCTGTAAGTACGAGCAATTTGCCAGCTCGACTCCCTCAAGATAACTTCTCCACAGGACCTTTGAGGGCCTTGGGCACTTCGAGTTCGTATATAGATATATCATTTGTACCGGGTAATCTGGGTAAGCAGTGGAAAGCATTCGTGCGTGATCGGCAGTTCGTTTCCTTTAAAATCAGATCCTACCCAATCACCTAGTTAATAACTGACTGCTTTCCATTCAACACTGTATAAATTCGAAGTAAAGATGATCTGGAGGCTTTTGATACCTTTGATACTGACTCCACCACTGGGTTCCGGCTACAACTACTGCAACAACAAGACGCACAAGTGTGTGCTGGAGAACAAAGAACACTTCATGTGCCATCTTGAGGACTTCACCGCCTACGGGAACTCGACCAAGTTCCATGCTTCCGTTCCGACCAACATGAGGATGCAGAAGATAGCACTGGACGTCCTCAACAATCTGCGGAACGACTTTGCGGGCGGTGAACTGAGGACGAAGGGCAACAAGGTGTTCGCGAGGGCCAGGCGGATGCGCGTGCTAGTGTGGGACAAGGAGCTGGCCTACTTGGGCCACAACCATGCGACCACGTTGTCCCTGAAGAGCTCGCAGTGCCGGTCCACCCTGCGGTTCCCCTACGTCGGCGAAGTCATTGCCCTGGTGACCCGCAGGGAGAAGCTCAATCTGAAGGAGATATTTTCGATGGTGTTCACCCCCATGTTCCGCGAGTACCAGCATGTCTCGGATCCAGACGCTCTCCTCCAGGCCTTCGACCCTGTCAGGTGAGCTAGAAATTTGGTTACCCCGCACCTGTGGTGATCCTTCGCTGCTGCAGGGACTTCCATGTGGCTTACTTCACCAACCTCATCAGCGACCGCGTGTCACGGGTGGGATGTGGTCTTGCCGTGGGCTCCAACTGCCATCCATTCTTCAAGTGAGTACAGTGGTGTCCTGCTAGCGAATAGGCTTTCCCCAAGCCCGCTGCTCCTCAGGTTCTGCCACTTCGTGAGCTGCTACTTGGACTTCAGCAACTTGGCCGGCTCGTATGTGTACAAGGCCGGGGATCCCACCTCGTCCTGCGACGACTGGGGCGTCGTTAGCTCCGATAAGTACGCGAATCTCTGCAAGAACAGCGGCGAGATTTTCCAGCACGTGAGTTGAGGCTGCACCCCACAGCATGACCACCCTCTAACCTCTAGCCCTAATCCTGACTCCGTTCCGCAGGATCACGGCGACCGGGTCGAGTGAAAGTCCGGTGGTGAGGTGTTTAGTATATTCGTACATTTATATATGTTTTTCAAGCACAGGAGTCCGACTTAGAAAACCTCCCAGAACCCGAAATACAATCCTTACATTTCCCACGATCCGTTTCGAATTTGTTTCTATGCTGATGCGAGTTCGGGCTCTCTTCTTACACAGCTACTTGGAAAACGTACTTGGTTTCCATGTCCTACGCGGTTTACTTGTAATTTGCTACTTCCATCTAACAGCTAACAGACTTAGTCGGTTTTGCCTCACTGTCGTTTGTGTCTCACCGAGGGGATTTGGATTTGTCGAGTGAAACCAGCTTCATCTTCGGAAAATGTCGTTAGCGTACACGATAAGCGAATATTGAACATTCAACGACTCTAAATGAGGACCAATTGACCTTCAGACTAAGTTGCATATTCGTTTGTTCGAGTAAGTAGGTTCGTATGGCCTATTCGATGGAGTTAACTTGGTTACGCGTTTCCTTTTAGCCACCGATTGGGCCTAAGACGGGCACAAAAGTGCCGACTACCTTATTCTAGGGTTCGCTGATGTGGATAACATTGACTATTGGTGTCATCTACGCGGGTCTTTCCGGGTTTTCGGGAACTCTCGACTGCTCCAACACCAGAGTTCTGATTGGAGCGTGTCCGCATGCGAAGGGCACTGGAATGCCGCTGATCCTAATCCTCAAGCTCAGGCCCTCTGCTCCTCCACTCTACACTTAGAAAAATACATATAAATACGAGGGACAAAGCAGCTAGGGAATACTTATGAAGAAGGCGGGCTGACAAGCTCAAGGGCTGGGCAATTAGGATATACATATAAGATTCGAATTTCTAAGTTCGCCGGAAAAGCGGCCAAAGAACACACTCAAGGATATTTAGATGTTCGTCTGCAAGGTGGGTAACATGACCTAACAATTAACTTCGTAGTGCTGCTCATTGTCCAAGCCGATGCCATTTTCGATTCCCCTAAGTCCTACGGCTAACACCAAAAATATACTCCTACCGCCGGTTCGCTGGTAGTGTCCCCCACTTTCCCACTTTTAGAGCCCTAAAGCGGCTGGCCAATTGGCGTTCCATACGTGATACTCCCCGCTCCCCGCTATGTAACATATATCAGTATCAGTGCAGCATTACCTTAAAATAATGTGCAAACACTCAGTGCTAAGTACGTGAAAAGACGTCTCCCTCGTAACATGTACAATACGGATAAATAATTGTAGTTGTTCAGCAAATCCTTGGGAATCCGCGTCCGGATGTCGTCCCCTACAAAATGTTGCACCCAGAGCCGTGCATCACCTCACTGATAAACATGGGCGTGCCAGCGCCCAATCCTCCGTCCGTCTTCTGGTGCTCGTTCTGGAATATTCGAGATTCAAGATCGTGGGGATTCGAGATTACGGATAAGACATGGCAACTCACATCATCGTAGTCGCAGTCGAAGTAGTGACTCTGACAGTCCATGCACCGGCAGCTCTCGGACATCTTGCAGGTGATGCCCCACTGCTTGGCCAGGTCCTTGTAGATCTCCTTGCTCGTCTTGTTGCTCATCATCTCCGGCGTGAGCAGGCTGGTGTGGCAGTTGGGCTGCTGAACCTGCTGGGTCTGCCGCCTGCCACTCCGGCCGCTCCTGGATGCAGTCGATCCGGATGCAGATCCGCTGCAGCAGGCCTCCTGGCACATCTGGCCGTTGGCCGAACCAGGACCCGAACTAGCAGTGCCACCTAATATTATACCAACATGTTAGGATATCTAATGGGTATGCTGCTGAAGAATAGATCCCACCTTCACTGTAGTTTGCGTAGCTGCCCCGATTCAGGAGCGGATCGTAAAAGTTGTGGCCACCGCCGGAGGATGCCGCCGCCTGACTGCTGGTGCTGGCCGCATCCCTGTCCTCTCCGCTGGCCCGCTCCTCGCTGCACTGCACGCACTGATCGTCCTGGCACTGGCCGCCCTGATCCTCGTCCGCTCCTGCTCCGCCTGCGTACCGATCCTCCAGACGGCGGGACGGTGAGGCCGCCATCTCCGTCTCCAGCAGGAACTCGTTGATGCTCAGCTGCTCCTCGTTGTCGCTCCGCAGCTCCAGTTCCGTGACGCCCTCGAAGATCTGCTCCCCGTCGTTGTTGTTGTTCGTGCTCTGGATGTGGTTGCCGTGACTAGTGGCTGCGTTGTTGTTCAGGTTCTGTCTGCAGTCCGGGTCGTTGCAGAACTCCCCGGCGCCTCCATTCCCGGCCAGCTGCTCCAAGGCGGCACTCAGCTGGGCGGCACTGTGCCGCGAGCTGTTCGCCGAGCTGCGCCGGCTGTTCTGGTTCGGAGTGGCGCTGTCCAGGGACAACTGTCGCTGGTGCTGGGACAACCGAGTGTTCTGGATGAGATGGAAACAGCCAAAGTTGAATACCGCGCTTCCTGGCTCCTAATAAGCTCTGATTCTATATATATCTGGATCGATCTGGTCCAGACTCGGACTTACCTCCTCTAGAACATGCTCGTAGGAAGGCGGTGGGGTGGTGGGCACTGTGTCCGCATCCGTATCCGCCAACGACTCGTTGATGCACGGAGTGCGGTTCTGGTTAAGGTATCCTGCAATGGGCGTGGCGAAACGGGTTTCAGAAAAACAGTGGCACACCAAAGGGGAAAGGCCCATTTAGCTTGACTTTAACTTTTCCAAGCAGAAGGAGGTGCAACAGTAGTGGAAATATCGTGCGTGGAGAAATGTAGGATCTGTAACTACCATTTTACCCACTCATATACATATGTGCTTTGGCATGCGATGTACTACACAGAAAAAAAAAAGAGGTACGAAGGCTGCCGAACTACGAACATCATAATAAAAGTCTCAGTTCTTATGCAATTTGTAAGCTTAAGTATACGTATTTAAATGTATTCTGATAAGGTGTCCCATTCCAGGATCTTAAAGTGATTCCTTGTTCGTGTCCACGATTCGATTAGCTATCCCAAAGCCTAATTTTAGCTCCAATGTGGTATGCTGCTACTTATGAGAGGTTTGCTTTGTTCGGGATACCCACTCTGGATTTCTTTGTGTGCAGGATGCTACTGTGTCGTCCTTACCCAATCGCATGGTGCTGCTGGTGGGCGGCAGGAGCAGCTTGCGCTCGCTGCTCAGCTGGCCGAGACTGCTGGAGTCCGCGAGGTCGAGGCTAGAGCTGCTGCTGGCCTCCACCGCCTCCTGGAGCGGCTGCGGGTTCTGCTGCTGGCTCTGGGCGCCCAGGAGCGCCTCGTTCACCTGCGGATCGGGGTCGTGCTCCTGCGAGGTGCTGCGCGAGCTGCCCATCCGGAACTTGAGCTTGAATGGCGCCATGGGGTCGGGTCCACCTGCTGCTCGCTCCTCGCTCCTCCTGCTGCCGCTGGCTTGTGGTTACCTTTCTACTGCGATACCTTTTCTATTCGAACGGGCATGGGTGCTGCGGCAGACTTGACAACACCAAGAGTACGGAAGAGTTACAAGGATTACGGAAATTACACAAGAAGAGCGAGTGAGAGAGGTAACGAGAGGGAGAGGGAGGGAGAGGTGGACAGAAACAGCTTTACAATACGCTTCTATTTCAGAAATGGTGACTTGAGTACGAATAAAAAGAGTAATAAACACAGATTTTCCACCGGATTAGCGGAACTAAGTCTCCGTTTTCAGCTCTTCTCGATTTTTGATTAGTGGCATGCAATTATCTTGATTATTCTTAGTCAACAAGCAGCTTACTGCCTAAATTACCTGGGTGTTCAAAAGCAGTGTGACCTGTAATTGAAAGAGGATTGGATAAACGTTATGGTCAAGGTGTCTAAAATTATGCAGCATAATATTTCGCAGAAGGAACACAGGATATCATAGTTCAATCAAATGGTACCAAATAAGTAATAGTTTAAAGAGAACCGCTTTCCATTTCCCAAATAACCCTGTTCCCAATTTCCATATCCATCTGCTCCATCTGCTCCACAAGGAGATCGCCATCGTCTTCGGCCACACCCACACAGCTGAGCTGTTTGTGGTTTCATTAGGGCACGACAAGTGGTTGGAAATCCAGGTAACCACCCGCCGGCCACGCCCACCTCCGCCCCTTTGTCATTATTATGCAGATTGCACCGAAACCCACTTTCGCATGCCCATCCAAAGGATGCGAGATGCACAAAGTCTGTCTCGGCTGCTGGCGAACTATTATTATGCTTATTGCGCCGAGGAAGCTCATTAAGTCGCGCATGGAGGCGTCCTTGAGGATGTGCCAGTGCCTCTTCCTCTGCCTGCGCCTGTTCCCCATGTGGGTGTCTGCATCCCAATTAAGCCAGCCGTGCTTCGCCTATTTGCATGGCGATGCCCCTCAGCTGCTGATTGATAACCCATCCGCCGAGCAGGGCGGGATTGGCCCCACATAATTCGACAAACATTCGACTTGGCATATTTGCCGACAATAAACTGCCAATTGCCGCTGTTGACTCGGCGAGCTAAATCATATGGAACTGCTGATTGGGTGCAGGCGCATCCCCACTCACCCACGCGAAGGCCACACAATTGCGAGGAATCTGAATCTCCTGCCAGGCCGTGAGTCATGTGCTCAGCTCCCGCTCCCTGACAGCCACCCACAAGCCAAGCAGTTTGTGTGCGAATTATCCTCGCTTGGGAGGCTTTGATTTCAGCGGCGGGGATGCAGATTCGATGTATCTGCGTAGCTGCTCCTTGAGCTCGGAAGTTTCATCCCAAAATCTGTACCTTTCCTGGGTACTTTAGAGGTAATACATTGCAAAGAGCTATGAGCTATTCATTATGGGAAAGCCTCAAGCTGCCTAGGATTGGCGGCCATCGGAGCAACAGTTGGCGCTGGGTGGCGACCACTCGCTGCTGGGATGCATATGCATTCCGGGAAGTGGACTATGAATTCTTCATGAGGCGCGGGTCAGGGAGTCGCTATGATATGGCAGCCAGCTTAATCTTTAATCGAAACTTTTCACTTTTCACTTTTGACTTTGAGCAATGGCAAAGCGCATTTGACATTCTCATTAATTTCGCAGGAGACAGGCGGCGCGGAGTGGAGCGGAGCGGAGGGGGATTGGGTTCCTAGTTTTACGGCCCGGGCAGTTGGTTACGTGGTGGTGTCATCCTGCAGTAAATTGTTTTTCCCTGCTCCTGTCGTAAACAGGGACATTAAAAAGTTGACTTGACTGGGCTTCGGCTTGACTTGGCCGTGGAACTGAGGTTGCCCAGGCGGATTCGGCCAATGCCGTGTATAAATAGTGGCCTGACCCAGTTGCACTCCCCTTGCTCCATCCTGCTGCCAGGACCAGATGTGGAATCCAAGTCAGAACCAGAAGCTAACTAGCAAGTGCAGCCTGTTTACTGTGCAATTGACGACAGCAAGGTCACTTCTCATCCCGGGCTTAGCCTCCCGCCACTTTCTGGATAATGGTCACGATATTTAAATGTCCTTTTTCGCCAAGTTCTCCTTCCCCCTCCTCGCTTCCCGCGAGCAGCTCACCCTGATTAAAACGCTTTCCACTTTGTGGCCATCAGCATAACATACACTGAGCGAAGACATGTTATGTTGCAAGTGCTTGAAGTCCTTACAGAAATAAACATTATATGTGCAAACCAAATAAATTTAAGAAATGGTCTGTTATACGTCTACTCGTTTCCAAAAAAAAAAAAAATAAAATAAAAGAACTCCTAGAAATTGTGTCTATCTGGTTGGTTAAAATTTTTTCCATGATAATATACAGCGCATCCTTTTTGCTTTGAAATGGAACTTCGAAAACTGTTTTCAAAGTCGCTTTCCACTTCAATCGAGACGACGTTTTTCCTCGCATTAAAGTCGAATTGTTGGTCATAAAATCAGTCGGAAAGTCTTTGCCATTATCGGCGAGAAATGAATATTTTAGCTGCGTTTTTTACGCCCAAGTGCTCATCGAAGTGCTTTGTGGATGATTTTGGGGCACTACCATGCCGCCACTGGCACTCGAATGGAATGCGGGTGCGGCACAATTACACAAATTGGATATTAATTGGCTGCTCCCGAACTTGTACCTGTCCAAGCCCGCCGCTGACACTCGGAGCGCAATTAGTGGACATCGAAGGGCGCCCAGGTAAACAAATGCGCCCTGGGGCCTGATAAGGGTGTCCTTCGCGCCCGATATCGATATCGAGGTGGTGGCGATGATGGAACGCCTGGGCCATGGCATCATCGCCATTAGGACAGATATTGCAGGCGTCGCAGGATAATGCGTCTGTCGCTGGAAAACTGATACCTAATTGGGCAAACAGCCGGGGGCTCCAAGTCGTTGGATGGATAGATGGATGGATGGTTGGATAGACGGATGGATGGATGGATGGATGGGTGGGTCAGTCATTGGTTGTTTTTCCCCTTTATTCGCATTTTGCCTTTGTGTCCTGCCCGTTACGAAAAATCGAAAACACGGACGACCCGACTTGGCAGCCTTGGAGCGCCGAACGGCGAAGGATGAAGGACTCACCTGCGGCGGACTTACAGCCGGATCGGATGAGGATTATTCAAGTTCTTCTGGCTATTCCCGACTTCTTTGCTGCTCGGACGGGAATCACCTTGCCTCATTGCGCGTTGCGATGAATTCGCTTTTTTTCTCAGCACTCACAATAAATAATCCACTGGGCCCTCTGATTGCCACAGACTGCGGAAAGCTGGCCGAGGGAGCGAGCTTTTATTGTCCTGCGAAGGCGACGGGAGCTTTTTGGGGGGCACGCAGCTTGCAAAAGTCCTGCGCCGGCGCTCTGCTTCTTCCGGCATTCGGCCTCTACTCTTCTCCTTCACACGGACTATCCTCGCGCCCTCTGCTTTGGGCGCGAAATTCGCGTGAAAGCCCGCAGATGACAGTCCTCCCGCACTCACAACACTCCCAAAAAATCCCAGATTCCTGCAATCCCTGAAACCACTTCTAGGGAAGGGAATGTGTTCCCTTATTTTTAATACTTTACAGTCACACAAGTCCATTGGCTTTTGTTCTTCATCTGAAGTCTCGTAGATCTCGTAGATCTCTTAGATCCGTGTAGATCCTTGTGCCCATCTAGTTCAGAGTGTATCCTTGCTTCTCCGTAATATACAAACGGATCAATAAGAACAGCGGAAGAGCATAAGACGAACAACGCAATAATATTAGTTATTGCATTTATTTCACTAGGATTTGATTCTTTTTGGCTTTTAACAGCAGGCGTGGGTCGTTTTTGTACCGCACGAATATCTCACTTTTGAAAACATCGAACTTCCGGCGATTCGCATTATTCTGTTGCTCCCGCCAAGCAGGTCTGGCCTGCTTTCTTTGCAATCCCCAATGACCGGTAAAAACTGGGGAAAGGACGTAGAACTGGTAGCCAGCTATGTGCATCTCATATACCTGCAAGTTGGAAGTCAGTGAGGAATGCGCGGTTTCTGCGTTCAAACTGAACTCACCTGGGAGTTCCTGGTGAACCCGTAGCCCAGAAATCTTTCGTCGTGCGCTGGTGCGTTGTCTACAGCTATGTAGAATGGTTCATAGAGGAATTCAAAGTTCGTTACGATATGGCTGACAGATACTTCCGTCTCATTTGAGTTGGGGGAGAGCCACCTGAAGTACAAGTACAATAATTACCACGACTGATTTCATAACACTAATTGGATAAACGTACTTGGAGAAATTAGTTGCATATTGGTTGTAGATAAAGACTTTTTCGTGAAAAGGTCTAGCTAGTCCCTTCCTGATCAGGCGCACTAACGCATTCTTAGAGCGGGGAAACGTAGCCCTAACGTCTATTTCAAATGTGGGTATTACGTAGGCACAGCTCTTGGAGCAATTGGCTGTCCTGAAGAAGTGGTTCAGCTGGGGCACACTGTTTGTGCTGGGAACAATGTCGATGTCGGTGAGAAAGACGTACTTCGTCTGGCACCCCTTGCGCGCCAGGTTCCTCATGTGATTCTGGGGATAGGTGTTCCTCTGCCGCCACTGCAGGGTCTTCAGGGAGCGGAACTTGAGCAGGGCCTTGAGTGTCCTATCCGGGTACTGGCAGTCGAATTTGCCCTTCATGTTAGGTGGAAGGGCGGCCATGCGGGGCAGCTTGTCGAAGTCCCTCGGCGTGAGTAAGTGAAAGGTGGCATTCTCGCGTATGTTGGCGAAGCACAGGCGCATGTAGGTAACAAAGTATTGCAGGACTACAAACTCCTCGGGACCAGCTGCAAAAAGGGCCACGGACATCTTGCCCTGCCAATTGGCAGCCACCTGGGGAAGCGAGTTGAGGCGCTCCACTGAAGTCTGGGTGGCCAGGCACACCAAACTGCCATCCGCGAGGTCCGCGTACTGTTCGCCCAACAGAGCAAAGTCCTTGATCCTATACAGCTGCTGGTTGTCCCAGCGGCCGTAGCTCAAGTCGATGTTATCAAAGGCCAGAGATGCCGAGTTGTTTGGAACCACGAAGCCGTCCATGTTGTTGAGCGGCTGGAGCAGCGCATAGGCGATATCCGAATGCTAGGGACACTCTACCGGTTCGGGACTTTGAGGAGTGGGCGGACAACTCTGCGGAGCATCTCCTGCCGGAGGATACACCTTCAGGAGCCAAAAGATGTTCACCGAGAGGAAGGCCAGCACTATTTTCAGCGAAGTCCAGTTTGATATGTGGCACTGGCAGAAGGGATGAAAGTTTCAATACTATATCATTTAACTGCGACCGTATAGTTACCATCATTCAAGCGAGTATCACAATGCAGTTATTTATCAGGAAAACACAACCTTAATAACACATAAAATATATACTTCGAAATGTCCTTGCAGTGTGACCGCATTCGCCTTAACAATAATAACTGACCGTTATTCGGCAGCAAAGTAACTGGTTCATTCCAGCCCATTCTGTATGGGATATCGATATGTTCCTCTCCTCTTAAAATGTTCGATTCTTATAGAAGGGAAACACTATTGAAAAGCGAACTCAGCATGATAGTTGTTTTTTGAACAAGTCCAATCAACGTTTTATAGTAATAGATGCACTCTTTAAATTCAACAGTTCCTCTTCGTTTCGATAACTATCGGCGATGGGTCGTGCAGAGAGCCCCACAAATCGGCCATTCATCGTGCAGTCTGACCGTTCAGCTGGGCAAAACTTTGTTCATATCTATGTAGAGTAATGTATACATTATATACAAACGTACATGTTGAAAACAGCGAGAAAATAAATCGAGAATAACATTTTAAATTAATATAATAACAATCGGAAGGACCTGGTCCTCGCAATCAAAGTGGCGCACGCGATAAGCCGAGAATCCCAAGAACGTACACCAATTAAGAGAACCTTCCAATCGTGCATATAAAAAAACATCCATATGTATAAAATAACAATAATTAAGAACCTGCGTTGTTAATTCTTTTATCTAAAAACTCCTTTCGCCGGCTGCATGAAAATGTACGTAAGATTGCTGGTGCCCGAACTAAAAACGAAAAATTCTGCTTGTAATTCAGGAAACATTCCCCCCCGTAATGTGCATATATAATTGAATTAGTATTTATAATGATAACTCCCCCAAACCGATTTCCTTAGACTTGTCCTTGAGTTGTCCTGATCGTCGAAAGGGGCTCTGTGCAGAAGGCCTCTAATAGGCCACTAATGGCCCATTAAGAGACCAAAATCCGGCCCGGTTACGATTTCAGTATGTACTTGGTATGTGAGTATGTAATGTGCATGCATGTGGGGACTGCAAAAGGCAAATAGTGGTCAAAAGTTCATCTCCAGGCTGTAAATGCGGCACCACGATCGTCCAGTTGCCACTCAGGTTGATATATATTTTTGGGCACTTGTAAGTATTACTTTGCACTATCCATCAAAGGTCGGACAGGTATTACACCTGTATGTATGTAAGCGTGCAAAAGTGCTTCTGGAAGTGTTTATCCATGCCAAGTAAATAGGAGTCTGCCCAGTGAGTTGATTGCTTCCGATACATATATAGGCCTTCCTGCGAAGTGTATACCATGAAGTACCAGATCCCGATCATTACAACGCCCCTGTCCCCAAAGATTTGTTAATGGGTTTCGTGACCTCTGTTAGCGATGGGATAAGTCGGGTTTTCATTGCTCATCCGCCACTCTGGTGTGGGAACTAGGAAACTCTAAAATGTAGTTGTAATAGTTAATCTCTCTTGCTTCCACAGGGATAATCCAGACGCTAGCATGGAAGAGTCAAGCCCAAATTACGATGTTAACCAAAGACTACAAAAGCCGGAGGGTTGGCCCAATGTTAATGAATTCCATCCCTCCATGATGTTTCCGGAGGATCCCAGGCGGTACTTCCACAATGCCCCCACAGAGCCACAGTTGCAGCCACAGCAGCAGCCGCAGCAACATCCGCAACAGCAGCCGCACCAGCATCCGCAACAGTCGCAGCAACATCCGCAGCATCAGCAACATCCGCAACAGCAGCCACAACAGCAGCCACACCAGCAGCCGCACCAGCATCCGCATCATCAGCCGCAACAGTCGCAGCAACAGCCGCAACAGCAGCAACATCCGCAACAGCAGCCGCAACCACATCCGCATCATCAGCCGCAGCAGCATCCGCAGCAACAGCCGCAGCTGCAGCCGCAGCAACAGCCACAGATACAGCCTCCTATTCCCATTCCCGTACCCGTACCCATAGCCACACCCTTGGAAGGAGCAATGGAAGTTCCTGTTAAGATGCCAGAATACTGCCCCGAGATTAGCCAGCCCGTCGATCCTGACCGGGTCATAAATCCCCTGGCCGAGGCTGCCAAGAACACAGTACCTTACGGCCACAAGCGCAAAAACTCGGCGGCAGAGGATCAGGCGGCAAACAAGAAGCTCAGTCTGGCGGCCGCCGAGGAGAAGAAGAACAGTCACCTGCGGAAAAACATCCGCGACGTGATGAACGAAAACAATCTGGACACAACCACGCTGGCGGCTCAGCGGGAGGAATCGGAACGCTTGGCTCGCGTTGCTGGTCAACAGAAGTCAATGCGCGAGATCCAGAAGCAGGTGGTGCACAAGCAGATATTTCGCATTCTGCAGCTGGACGAAAGCGAGGGCATTGAGAGCTGTGCGGTGGCCAACCCCGTTGAACATCACCCGCCCGTCGACTTTCCGGAGGAGGAGATCGCCTCGGACACGTTTGACGAGTCGAATAGCAGCAGCCTGAGTGGCGGCAGCATTGAGGATGTACTGCACAAGGAGGCCAGCGTGCAGCAGCCCAGCGAGGTGGTCACAATAGACGACAGCTCCGACGACGACTGCATTCTCCTCTCCGAGGAGGAGGAGGAGGAAGATGACGAGGACTTAAACGAGTCGGACGACGCCACCAACAGCGGGATGCATGTCAAAGATATATACAATGTTCCCGACGAGAACGGACAAGTGGTGGTCAACATGGCGCATCCGGAGGGCGAGGAGACCCTGTACCTGGCCCCGCAGATAGCGAAGGTGATAAAGCCGCACCAGATCGGCGGCGTCCGCTTTCTGTACGACAACATCATCGAATCCACACGGAGGTACAACAAATCGAGCGGTTTCGGCTGCATTCTGGCCCACTCCATGGGCTTGGGCAAGACGTTGCAGGTTGTTTCCTTCTGTGATATTTTCCTGAGACATACCTCGGCAAAAACGGTGCTGTGTGTGATGCCCATCAACACGCTGCAGAATTGGCTAAGCGAGTTCAACATGTGGATTCCGCGCTACTCGGCGGACAGCAATGTTCGGGCCCGCAGCTTCGACATCTTCGTGCTGAACGACCAGCAGAAGACGCTGACGGCTCGGGCGAAGGTGATCCTCAACTGGGTGCACGAAGGAGGTGTGCTTCTCATCGGCTACGAGCTGTTCCGATTGCTGGCCCTCAAGCTAGTTAAGACGCGCAAGCGAAAGGGCAGCGTCATTCGGCCCGACGGCATGGACTCCAGCAGTGATCTCATGAATCTGGTGTACGAGGCCTTGGTGAAGCCAGGACCTGACTTGGTAATCTGCGATGAGGGGCACCGTATCAAGAACTCCCACGCCGGCATCTCGCTGGCCCTGAAGCAGATCAGGACGCGGCGTCGTATTGTGCTCACCGGCTACCCCTTGCAAAACAACCTGCTCGAGTACTGGTGCATGGTGGACTTTGTGCGGCCCAACTACCTGGGCACTCGCACGGAGTTCTGCAACATGTTCGAGCGGCCCATCCAGAATGGCCAGTGCGTGGACTCTACGCCGGATGACATCAAGCTCATGCGCTACAGGGCGCACGTGCTGCACTCCCTGCTGTTGGGATTCGTTCAGCGGCGATCGCACACTGTGCTGCAGCTGACGCTGCCTCAGAAGTACGAGTACGTCATCCTGGCCAAAATGACCGCCTTTCAGCGCAAGCTCTACGACACCTTCATGACGGATGTGGTGCGCACAAAAGCTTTTCCAAACCCGCTTAAGGCCTTTGCCGTTTGCTGCAAGATCTGGAACCATCCAGATGTTCTGTACAATTTTCTGAAAAAATGTGAGACTGATTTAGATTTAGAAATCGACGAGGAGGTATCCAAGGGCGCTGCCACGCCCATCGTGGAGCCAAGTGCAGATTCTTCCGTGAGTTTGGCATCGCCTCTCGAGAAGAAAATCAATGGATCCGGGGATCCGGTCAATAGTATCGAAACGTTTTCCAAAGCCGAGAATCAAACTTTATTCAACATCCCCGCGTCATCGGATTTGAATGCTAAATATTTAAATAAGAGGTATGGTTAAGATAACACATTCAATATATTCAGACTATTTATATGCAATTTTGTTGCAGTCCCAGCTTCTACGACGAAAAACCGGAGCCACTTAATTATGGATCCTTCGGTAGTGAGAGCAAGAACAACTACTGGATGGATTCCAGCATTCTACCCAAGCCGGGATGCGTGGAAGTTATTAAGCAAACGGACACGAACATGTCGAGCAACTTTGAAAGTATTACGGGGTCTTCCGAAATCGTGGATCTGGACACAAACGAAATAAAGACCGTCGAAACGACGATACAAGCACCGTGTTCCAACAATCAACTAGATAATGGGTGCAATGCCAGCAAACCAAGTGAATGGAACGCCGCTGGCAGTAAAAACGTTGGTGGCGTGGCTGCTGCCGAGCCGTTTAAAAAGTTACTCAAGAGCAAGCAGCGAAACGATGAGTTTTCGTGTTCGTGGGCTGTGGATTTGATGAAGAACTATGTGTCTGGCCTAATATCGAATTCGCCCAAAATGGAGATATTCTTCTGCATCTTGAAGGAGAGCCTGCAGTTGGGAGATCGTATTCTGTTGTTTAGCCAAAGCCTATTAACCTTAAACTTACTCGAAGTCTATCTGAAATCCAGCTATGTTCCTGGTAGCAATCAACTATGGACTAAAAACAGCTCTTATTTTCGTAAGTATGCACATCTGCCTAATGGAGTCGCTCTAACCGTTTGCTCATGTTTCAGGTTTGGATGGTTCTACTTCCTCGCAGGAAAGGGAAAGGCTAGTCAATGAATTTAATGCAAATAGTAATGTTAAGCTTTTTTTAATATCAACAAGAGCCGGCTCGTTGGGAATAAACCTCACCGGAGCGAATCGCGTTATCATATTCGATGCTAGTTGGAACCCCTGTCACGATACACAAGCTGTATATAGGATTTATAGGTAGGAGATTAATGGCTTATTATATCCCTACGATGTTTAATTAACTTACACTGCTTTCCAGATATGGTCAGACAAAGCCGTGCTTTGTGTACAGAATCGTAATGGACAGGTGTCTGGAGAAGAAGATCTACGATCGGCAGATAAAGAAGCAAGGAATGTCCGACAGAATCGTCGATGAATGTAATCCTGAGGCACATCTTTCCATGAAGGATATCACAAATCTGTGCCACGATTATGACTCTGATG